ATGCTGCTTACACGACGTACACGGTGTACAGTAGACTCCTGCTTAGATCCATCAGTGTATATAACAAGTGATAAATTATTACCAAGATGAGCTTCTTGGGAGGGACTTGCAGGTATGTGGTATTAATTGATTACAACTTCAATGGAGCAGTGAAATGCTTTTGTTGCCTACCGGATGCAGTCCTGTGTGTATTTACTTCTAGACATTTAGTAAGATTTGTAGTGACAGTGTCAGGATAAATGACGATGGGACTATTGATTCACTGCTAACAAAAAGTTATCAGATGCTTACCGTAGAATTCTGAGGATATCATAAGTTATACCATCCTGTCTAGGGGCGGTTGATCGATCTTTGTTTAATGCATTATCAAAAAAATATTTTAATTCATACTCAGCGAAGAGGCAGTCACTCTCATTACTCTTATCATTTTCACCCTTCTGAAGGACGGGTGAAAATGATAAACTTTAATATGAGATTGGAGATTTTTATGCGTGAATGTTTTGGACCAGCTGTTTAGGGCAAATGTTTTTTCAAGAGGAAAATGCTGAGCAACATTACTACTCTTTATAAGACTTTCAGTAACTCAAAATTTAAGGAAGTCAGTGATCACAAACGAATACACTGGAAGACTTCCTCCAACCTTCACTTTGACGTTCCAAATACCACTTTCCTTCGTTGCTCTATTATTTCGACTTGACCAAACTATCCTGACTCATCTTCTAATTTGCTCATTCCTAATTGTCTGCATAATAGCCTCACCACACGATGCTATCATACACATTTACTCCTCTTAAAATCTATAATCATTATTACGGGCTATATGACCGTATGTTATACGGAGATAAATTAAGACTTATGCAGGAGGCAGCAATGCAACCCTGACGGACAAGTCAATGGTAAGATCATACAGTAAGCAGTATAAGGCAGAAAGAATGCCTTAAGGAAACAGGAGGAGGCAGAAGGAATACCTTGATGTAATAAGAGGCAGAAAAAACAACTTGAGGCAACTGAGAGGCAAAAAAAAAAAAAAATCCACCGAGACGATGGCAAAACACAGAAACAGCAAGACCTTGAGGCAGCTGGATTTTATGTCAAAAACTTGGGGAAGTAGGTAACCTTTGCAAAAGAAGACTTTAGCAATATCTTATGAAGTCAGCAGGAGGAAGATTCAGATGCAAGACTAAGACAGAAGGAAGACCTTGAAACAGTAGGAGGCAGCATTATGCCCTCGAGACTGCAGGAGCACCTTGAGCCACCAACTTGACAGCACAATACAGGACGGCCAGTAAAACGAAACCAGGAACACTCACAACTCAGTGGCCCTTGTGAGGTAAAGTGTTGGTCCTCCCACACACTCTGAGGCCGGAATTCAATGCACTAACCTCCCTCTCTCTCCCACTCCCTCTGCATCGATTGCTACACTTATAATCACGTCAGCAACACGCTCCTCTCTCATGATGGAGAAGACAAGATGATGAGATTCTCTCCACGGAGCAAGCGGAAGACCCTTTTCGGCTACTAACCCTGGAGTGTTATTAAATCACGTAGAGAGTACTTTATTCGGATTATTAATCCCAAGAGAGTTAATGAAGTTATTAGCTCAGAATAACCAAGCTGTTTGTCTTACTTCCGTTGGAAATCTTTCTGGACCGTTTCTAGGATACGATCCACAACAATCTACTTAAATCTAAGTACCCATTTACTGCTAGGTGACTATGGAAAGAAGGTATAAAGGCACATGGCTATACATTCCACTCCACTCTCTAATAAAGCCAAAGTCCTATTATTTATGAGCCGGGTACTCTACTACTGAGCTACGAGTGATTAATGGAACAATGTAGTGTTTAGGGGCGAGGATGACAAGGCTCTCGCAACTGAGAATCGCGTTGACCTTGAGACTGGCATGGGAGGCAAAAAGGCATGCGAGGTAGTAATACCCACGCGCAAGAAGGACAAATGAGTCAAGTCCTCTATCGCACACGAGCCATGAAATTTCGTCACCTCGGGTCACCAACCTTACCTGGAGTCTACCTGGTGGGCCTTCTGGGGATCAACGCCCCCGCGGCCCAGTCCACGACCAGGCCTCCCGGTGGATCAGAGCCTGATCAACGAGGCTGTTACTGCTGGCCGCACGCAATCCAACGTACGAACCACAGCCCGGCTGATCCGGCACCGTCTTTAGGTATCTGTCCAGCTCCCTCTTGAAGACAACCGGGGGTCTTCCCGTAATGCCCCTTATTGCTGGTGGGAGGCTGTTGAACAGTCTTGGGCCCCGGACACTTATTGCATTTTCTCTTAGTGTACCAGTGACGCCCCTACTTTTCACTGGAGGTATGTTGCATCGTCTGCCAAGTCTTTTGCTTTCGTATGGAGTGATTGCTGTGTGCATATTAGGGACCAGTCCCTCCAGAATCTTCCAGGTGTAGATTATGATATCTCTCTCTCGCCTGCGATCTAGTGAGTACAAGTCAAGTGCTTCCAGGCGCTCCCAGTAGTTAAGGTGTTTGATGGAACTTATACGTGCAGTAAAGGTTCTCTGTACATTCTCTAGCTCTGCAATTTCACCTTCCTTGAATGGGGATGTTAATGTACAGCAGTATTCCAGCCTAGAAAGAATAAGTGATTTAAAAATAATCATCATTGCTTAGCATCTCTTGTCTTGAATGTTCTCATTATCCATCCTATCAGTTTCCTAGCAGATGTGGGATAAATTCCACCTTGAGTCATATAGGAGGAGCTGATATTCGTTTATGATTCTGCATTGCTGTATGTAATAACATTGGGTAATAGCGCTCGGCTCACAACCAAGAGTGCACCAGGTTAAACCTCTGATAGTAGTAAAACACGCAGGCAAGTCTCCTTACACCTGATGCCCCTGTTCACATAGTATTAATTAGGGACCTATATGGGTTAGTCGATGAATGTGGGGGCGCATCCTAGGGAAGAGAATCTAACGACCTCATGGAAATAAATCACACTGCTTGTCTTTTTTTTGGATTCATGCGTTACTAAGTCTACCGAATCATTAATCCAAAGAAAGTCGTCTTATTCAGCAAATGAAATTTGTGAGAAGAGAGTTCAGTCATGTTCCACATTATTTTCTCATCATATTACATGTGCTAAACCCGTATGGGTCATAGGGCCATCATCTGTTTAGAGCAAGAGGGATGATTATGTGTAATGTTTTAGCCGTGTATGAGTTAAGGGGACAGTGATTAATGGTGGACGGAAAGAGAAACCTCCTCATGAGGCAAGAATTAATGATGTGTCATAAAGGTGTTTACCCTAGGCCTCAGACCTGGAATGACATCTGGGGAGGGACTTACACGACCATGGCAGCCAGCCTCAAGCCAAAACAAGGGGCCCGAAGACAGAGGAGGTCGCAAAAATGAAGCTAAAGGTGCTCCTATTAGGGATCCTTCTGGGATCCTGAATCCTAGGCGAGGAAAGAATATAGAAATTAACTCCGACTGCCCCCTGCTCACCTAGCAGTTAATAGGTTCCTGGACGTTAACATAATGTTGTCTTTTGCATCCTGGAAAATAGAACCTAAGGACCCCAATGGAAACGAGTAACTCTTATTGACTTTTGTGGATTACCCGGGTTACTAATCCTCTGGGGTTAATCCAAATAAAATCTTTTGCAGCTTGTTCAGGAGTCGAGATAGCATTGGAGGTAAAAGATGGGAAGGGTATCAGAGATATGAAGCGGGACATGGACCTGCTAATTATTAAACATAGAAAATGAATCTGTGAATTTGGGAATTATTCATTAATTATTAAATTAATCCCTAATAGCTCCTGTGAAGTGTTCGGTGACACTTAAGACAGAGGAAGCGAATACATTATTTGACTAACCCAAGTCATTTTTTTTTCTAATTTATCCAAGTTTATTTTAATGCATTCACAAATAACCAGTACTAGCTGATTTTTTTTTTCACAAAAAGCCTCGTTAGTAAAAGTTTTACCGCTGAAATAAACAAAAAAGTGATACTTGTTGCTAATTTGTACAAAATTTACTGCCTTAAGAGCTGATATCCTACTTCAGCTTATTTATAAACCCAGTCATTTCTAAGATATCTTACTGTACTACGCATCAAGATGCAACTCAACAGTAGACAAACATCCAGTGTATTTACTGCTGGGTGAACAATGGTAGCAAATTTAATGAGACTTGCCAATATGTCTTGCCCAGCCTGGTAATTGAACCAGAGTCCTTTCAGCAAGCCTGTCCCAGTGAGAAACAAGTCAACTCTCTCTTACACTTTTGAGTCTAGTAATTACTTTGGTGTGAAAATATAAATGCAATACAAGATTAAGGCCTCCTATGATCTGGGTTATAAGCAATGCCCAGGAGGTTAGCCGGCCCGTAAGAAAACATTGTCAAGATCTTAATACCAGTGCCCTCATGTTTGCCTCATTATCTGTTTGTATAAGGACAATCTTTCGCTCTGGTAAGTGTGGGTCATGAGAGCAGATGGGAGCATCACCAGCCGTAAGGCTGGGGTAAAAAGGGGAGGAAATGTGCGAGATAACTGCAGCAGCTTGGTCGTTCGTTGTAATAACTCTTTAGCGACTTTCTTTGTCCTCACCAATGTCTTCTACGATTATATTGGCTTATTACCCGATGTTAATTCTTTCTTAGAGTCTAATGCATCTTCGATTACCTTAGACTTAGAGGGTCTTACTTTTTATAAATACATCGCGAAGTGTGTGCATTGAAAAATGTTAACTAAAGTGTTATTAAGTTAAAATAAACGAAATACAGTAGGGGCAGCAACTAATATTAAACAAGCATATAACGAGTTTAAGACGCTCACAAATAGAATGTCTGCATTAAAAACAAATAGAAAATCTCAAGACAACTAACACAGGATAGCATTTCGAAGAAAATGGTCAATGAAGATGAGATCGATGTAGTTACTATGTAAACGCTAAAGACATGCTGTGCTGGACACTCTGTTAGCGACGCTACTAAATACGTCTTAGCTGGAAACTTACTCCTTTAGGGGCCAAACGATGGAGCCAGTGGGATCCAGAAGCCCGTCTCTAGAAGGAAGAGTCGACGGAAGCCAAGGTTGAAACGTTAAGAATCCAGAAAAGGAACGAGTTGGTAAACGGTAATAACAAACCAGTCAAGTGGAAATTTATTGGAGATAACAGAGAGGATAATGGTGGTATATGTGGAAGAGATTGGCTCACAACTAACCCATAATCTACAGATAAAACTAAACAACGTTTCGGTCCATCTTGGATAGTTATCGAGTCGCGAATGATAGAAAAGCGAAGATAACTAGAGATCGGCTCAATCACTCGGGACTTAAAACTTGTCAGAGACGGACTGAAACGTTATCTACTTTCATCTCCAATTTGTTAGTTATAAACTGCTCCGGCAAAAGCATTATCACCTTTTTTTTTATCTTTACTGAGGTTGGTGATGCTGCATTTAAGAGATTGATAATGGTATTATACATAGCAAATATTCCACTTGTAGGGGTGCCTTACCATTTACCGGACCTTAAAAATGGATAAGTCACTGCAAGCAGTTATGTATATACATGTATTATATTATATTTTATATATATATATATATATATATATATATATATATATATATATATATATATATATATATATATATATATATATATATATATATATATATACAGAGTTTGATGTATGTACATTTTATTTACATTTACTTTCTGAAATATCTAAATATGTAAATCTATTTAAACAAAGTTAAAAAAAAGTGTTCAAAATTAAAACCAATGTTTTGGATGTTTAAAATCATCTTGAAATTGGTTCTTCCTGGTGTGGGTCAATAGGCCTAATGCAATGTTCCTTTCGCTCATATATTTCTATTTTTTTAAGTTCTTTATATTACTATTAATATTCTTTATATTACTATTAATAACCTACATGGAGACAATATCAGGATATTAAATGATTTGTATATTTCAACCTCCTTCAGGTATCCTCTTCAGCATCTGAAATATGCAGATCAATTAATCTCCTGAGTTTGTATCCATATATAGGCTATTATAATAACACTTCAGTTGTTCACTATTCACTATCTTGAAAACAGGTAATTCTAAAGGCCATCAAATTCTCTATGCTTTATGTTGAAGAGCAAGAAAACGCTGCTCTTTTTTATCTAAACATTGCAGATTTAACCAGGATAGATATCACCGATAAATCAGCGGTTGCTTAATTAACCGCGGGTAAAGAGTATGAGAAGCTACCTAAATGGAGGGTTTGAACCTATAGAAATCAGGTCTAAAATTAGTACGCCATCCACTGTTCTATGCCTGCCTAATAAGATTCGCCCAACTAGGTGTATTTATATACTGTATACGATAGGAAGGTTAGCATGGGCCACAAATGCAGGTTTCTTAAGACGAATCTCACACCAATATGGCTGTGGTATATTCTGTTTTAGATCCCTTAAACCTGTTATGAATGAATCTTTAAATCATAATGCCACGACTGTAAACAATGATTTATCTTTGAAACTTTTATTTGTCGCCACAGTGGGGCCCATACTAACCTTCCTGTTGTGAACAGAAATACCTAGTCCGAGTTGAACGAATTTTGTTAGGCCGGCATCATACAGTGGATAAGCGTACTGGCTTGCCATGGGTTCGAACTCTCCGTTCGGCGAGCTATGTGCAATCGTGACATTTCGATTTCACGAGTCTAGCACTGATAAGCCAGCGGTTGGTTAATCACAGATACTCATCACCAGTGAGCCAGTCCCGGTACATTAACGGCTGCTGTAGCACTGAGCCAGTCACCTGACAACAACCGTGTCTATTTTTCTGTATCCAGACGAACAAAGCACAACCCACTTCGCACTTATATTGAAGAGCATAATAGGTAAGCATAAAAGAGAGAGAGAGAGAGAGAGAGAGAGAGAGAGAGAGAGAGAGAGAGAGAGAGAGAGAGAGAGAGAGAGAGAGAGAGAGAGAGAGAGAGAGAGAGAGAGAGAGAGAGACCAACTGCTCTCACTATTTCTCTCATTGATAAATAATACCTTGATAATGTATTTCCTAAATGTAGCAGGTCTTCAATTATCTGCTCGAGACTTGACAAGGGCATCCCGAAGATCTGTCCTACGCCCCAAGAGATTTTTTTATTTCGTTGCAAAACTGACCTAGCAACCTAACCTTGATCAAATTTACGTAATATAATATAGTTCAATTTTCTTGACCAATCCAAGAATTAATATTGACCTACAGGGTATATAAACTGAAAAGTGTACATCTCTAAGTGTATATACACTGAAAGTTTACTTTAATACCCATTTTAGATATTTTATTATTTTTATACATGTGTATTTGTAAATTTGTGAAACTAATTTTTCATGGAAAGGGCTAAAGTGAGTTTATAAGTTATTTCATGTCATAAAATAAAATAACAACTTAAAATATACAACTAGATTGCATTATTCCCAGCAATAGCAAACGTTCAATGCGACTTTCACAGACACGTAATGGCCGCATTTTCTCACGTCCTCCTTGTTATTCCTCCTGAAGTACCTCGTAATGGTGTGTTTACAGTCTTCTTGACATCATACTTTGGTGTTTTACTTGTAGTGTCAAGGAGTTGCCAGAGGTGTGACACATGACTAGTATACACGTCTCTCCGCTAATGTGTTTTGTCTGTAACTCACCTAATGAGCATTCCAGGTGAGGAGTATAAGGCTGGTGTTGTGGATGTTCAGACTGGTGTGGTAAGGGTTTGGATTAGTGTGGTAAGAGTTAGAGCTGGTGCTGTGAGTGTGCTGACAGGTTGTGTAGTGTTTAAGCTGATTGGGTGAGGATTTTGACAGGTATAGTGAGGATTAGGGCTGGTGTGGCGAGTGTTTGAACTAGTGTGGTGAGGGGTCTAAATTGGTGTGGTGTGGGTTCGAATAGGTGTGTTAGGTGTTTATACTGGTGTGGCGAGAGTGTGTGCAACAGGGCATCAATGCCTTGCCTACACCTTCCAGCTGTGAAAATTATGGTCAAATATGGTAACAAATTCTGATATCTAAATAAGCCACAAACGCAGTGCAGGACATTTATTATGGAAACATTTCGCTCACTGTAAGGTTTATCAATTCAATATAAAGACTATTATTCTAAAGGAGCCTTATCAACATTAAAGCTTTCTAAAAAAATCTATTTACAAACCTGTTTGCAAGTAATGTCTACTCTAGTGGCCTCAAGTTTGTTGACTTACTCTCCTGAACACACCACATTGACACTAAAATACATACAACATAACCTTAGCTAAATAAACATCTTCTGACAATTGTTTTAGTCTTAGATTATATATACATTTTGCAACCTACTTATTGCTGCGAAGAACAGTCCACGTCTGATTGCCGTACCTGTTCCCTCCATCTGGATTAATCTTGTTACGTAGCATTTCTGTCTCGTCATTAATATACGGAGGACTGAGCCTCCACTAAGTTTCGTGTTAAATAATCTACACGGTCTTAGAGCTTCATTATATTTGTATATACATTGAACATTATATATGAAAACATACCTGTGGTAGGGTTTGATAGGAGAGTCGGTGGATTCGAAGGTGACCTCAGGGGAAGTGGGGTCTCCCTCACCCTTGGTGGCCATCAGAGAGCCATAAAGCCTCAAACCCTCAGAGTTGGAGCGACCCTGAAGAAGGAGCAGCAGCAGGGGACAAGTTCAGAGTCACAGCATCATAAGAATATTTTAAGAGTCACGATCTCGGGGGATACAGTGATAGGTTCTCAGTAAACACTGCCGGGGGGGGGGGATGCTTGCTGGGAAAAGAACTAAAGAAAGACGAGGAGATGAGGACAGCATATTATCATTTATGTAGACATGACCAAAATAAAGATATATCAAGAGCCCTCCATTTTACAAGAGTAAATGATTAATATATGTTAATGTATATCAAACGCAAAATTGTAATATTTTAATAAATATTACACATCATTTCCTTAAAATTTATATTTAAAACTACAATTATATATTACACGAAAAAGATTAAAAACTGTGTTCAGATGGAAATAAATAACGATGATGATAATATATAAACTAAATAATTAGAAGATGAAATTTGGTGTGAGGAAAATGGTAATCTCTGCTAGTTAATCTTTCAAGGAAGGTGCAATGATGCAGGTGAAGGGTTATTGATGTAAGTTATTGGAGTTACCCTTTGCTTGGATGAAACCTGCTTCACCCTTATGGGTTTAACGCTTCCACATTCCCATAATTTGAGTTGATTTTAAATAAACTCGGTCCAGAAGTGACCTTATCAGTACCTCCATTGTAGGTGACCTTATATGACCATATTAGTTCTTTCTAGTCGATATCATTAGTTTTTTTTCCCATGTGACCTTATTGGCACTTTCCTCCCAAGTGACAAGGCCATCTCAGTGAATAGCTGACCTTCAGAATGCCAGTTTAAATAAAATTCTTAAAAACACTTTTACTTTAAATACACTGTGACACGGTGATCATATTGGCAGTTTAACTTTAAGGTCACCTCCTGACACAATGAACTATTATCATAGTGCCCTTGGGGTTTATCCCTCTCACACAGATCTTGGAGGTTTGTCATCATACAGTGTTTTTTGGTTTATCTACTGACACACTGACATCGGGTTTATTATCATACAAGGTTCGCGAAGGTTCATTTACTGACACATTGACATCACATCCATCATCACACGATGTCATTGAGATTTATCTACTGACATACTGATATCGGTGCTATCGTCAAACAAAACCCTTGAGGTCTAACTTTAGACATAAAAACCTCTGGATGGGCCTTGGTCTTAGAAACCTCTGAGGTGGTCTTTTGCACATTAACCCGATTGGCTGTGTAGTACACATTATGTTGATTCATTTTATTATTATTCAAATAGAATCTCTGAAACCCGTGGAGAATGAGAGGTAATTAAATCTGGCCAGATGAAGGGGAGGGTAGTTCCAGTGTTTCACCAGCATCACCCTCACTAAAGGGCACGAATGATCTCATCATACTTTAGATATGGTACGTTTTTTTACCAAACTGTCTAGACTGAGCCGGGGCTTAGTGCTTAGTATTGATGAAATAATAATAATAATAATAATAATAATAATAATAATAATAATAATAAAGACTGAGCCTGGTATCACTATGTAGCACTAGCTTATAGGTAATTACCCCTTGTACAGACCCTAGTCAAACAGCCATGATTATCGAACGGAAGATAAAACTTCACTGTTGCCCTGAATAACACACACATTTATTAGTTTGTGTAAGAATCTATTAAATATTCAAATACGAACCATGAAGTTAAACCTACAAAAAAAAACTGAAGAATGACCCTACAGTGTGAAGTTAACCTTAAAATCAAACCATTCTTCACAAATCCGTTTGGGATTATCCTTAAGGAAATTTATGCTGACACTCCTGTGAGATATAGATTACCTCTAAGGCGCCTGAAGGATGACCTTCCTGCAAGGCACTGACCTTGAGGTCTACTCCGTAGGCTTGCTCGTAGATAGGTACTGCGGCACCCTGCGTACTGCCGTCGATGGCGGCATCTCTCTTCCTCCTGAGTACTCGCTGCATCGTAAGGTCCTCGTTTGGGTCCGCCTAAGGAAGAAGAGAAAACGTCAGATAAGAGTGAGTGTTGACACCTAGCAGTGTGTGCAACATTCTCGCACTAGCAGTGATAAGGGTTCATATTTGAAAGTTGCCTAATTTTCCCTTTGCCATCATTGTTTTGCCCTAACTGCGCATGTAGATGGTTTCACTCAGTATGAGTGAACTGATCTAGTTCTACCGTTTATTGTACAAGAGTATGTAGTTACAAAGATTAGCAGTGATACACATCCTTACATTATCGCTCCAAGATATGAACTGATCTGAGTTTACCCTTGGCGCTGACCATGCCCTACAGCTATAAGACTCATCTATAAGGGCGAATATCGAGTACACTCTCGAGTCTAGACGATTACTCCTAATGGACGATACACGTTCCGATACACGACTCGTCCTCTGCTGACATTATGACTATATGAATCGCAATGGGTTTTTGTAATATGCTTAGCGGTTTTATATACTTTTTCAGAAGTATATGTAACCTAGCCTAACCCAATGTAACCTCACTAATAGTATTTGAGGGAAAACTAAGCATTTAGAAACTGATGCTGGGTACTTAAGTTCAAAAAGTGTCTGTGACTTAGAAATGATGAATGGTTTTTGTTGGTGGTTGGGTTTGTATTGAATTATTCTAGCTCCCATGTCTCCATGTATTAGGAAATTCACATTTATGAAATATCTGGAATCATAGTCCAAAGGTCGTAGTAAAATGAGAATGTGTGAGAGTGGATGGTGGTAGTGAGGTTAGTGCACTGTTCAGTATAATTCCAAAAAGAACACGATCGAGAGAGGAGGAGAGAGGAGGAGAGAAGGAGAGAGAGAGAGGAGAGAGAGAAGAGAGAAGAGAGAAAGAAGTTACAATGTGCTATAAGACACGAACACGTGCGCACTCACGCACACACGCACCCCCATCCCCCCCCACACACACACACACAAAACAGTTTCCACTGCATTTGGCATTAGTGTTAAGAAATACAGCACTGTTACCACAAATCTTGATAAATGTCTATAAGTGAATAAACGTGAAGGTATATTTAGTTTTATAACAAGCACCAACTGTATCTCCACAACCAACAATAACATTTTTGCCCCCCCCACGGAAGTTTTATTCACTATTACATATCACATAAACATCGGTCCTGTGACCTTGATTATTTCAAAGGTGATCAAAGTCCCAGGACTAACATTTTCTGATATTCATTAGTGTTTGTTCACATGTCTCTTTAAACCATATCACTCCATATCAGTAACAAAATTTATACCATGAGTAAGTCTGTTATATTGTTCTACCTTTCTTACGATCGTCTCGCTGCCAGGCTGGAGGTGACAGTGGTGGTGATAGTGGTGGTGGTAACTGGTGGTGACAGTGGTGGTGGTAACTGGTGGTGACAGTGGTGGTGGTAACTGGTGGTGACAGTGGTGGTGTCAGTGATGTCTTGCTATCTGTCAACATGATCATCTCGCTGCCAGGCTGGTGGTAGTGATGGTGACAGTGGTGGTGGCAGTGGTGGTGGTGGTGGTGGTAACTGGTGGTGACAGTGGTGTCTTGCTATCTGTCAACATGATCATCTCGCTGCTAGACTGGTGGTAGTGATGGTGACAGTGGTGGTGACAGTGGTGGTGGTGGTGGTGGTGGTGGTGGTGGTAACTGGTGGTGACAGTGGTGGTGGCAGTGATGTCTTGCTATCTGCCAACATGATCATCTCGCTGCCAGGCTGGTGGTAGTGATGGTGACAGTGGTGGTGACAGTGGTGGTGGTGGTAGTGGTGGTGACAGTGGTGGTGACAGTGGTGTCTTGCTATCTGCCAACATGATCATCTCGCTGCCAGGCTGGTGGTAGTGGTGGTGACAGTGATGGTGGTGGTGGTGGTGGTGGTAGGGGTGGTAACAGTGGTGGTGGTGGTAGTGGTGGCGGTAGTGTTGGTGACAGTGGTGTCTTCCTATCTGCCAACATGATCATCTCGCTGCCAGGCTGGTGGTAGTAGTAGTGGTGGTGACAGTGGTGGTGTCAGTGGTGGTGGTGACAGTGGTGGTGGTGGTGGTGGTAACAGTGGTGGTGGCAGTGATGTCTTGCTATCTGTCAACATGATCATCTCGCTGCCAGGCTGGTGGTAGTGGTGGTGACAGTGGTAGTGGTGGTAGTGGTGGTAGTGGTGGTAACAGTGGTTTTGGCAGTGATGTCTTGCTATCTGCCAACATGATCATCTCGCTGCCAGGCTGGTGGTAGTGGTGGTGACAGTGGTGGTGGTGGTAGTGGTGGTAACAGTGGTGGTAACAGTGGTGGTGGCAGTGATGTCTTGCTATCTGCCAATATGATCATCTCGCTGCCAGGCTGGTGACAGTGGTGGTGACAGTAGTGGTGGTGACAGTGGTGTCTTCCTATCTGCCAACATGATCATCTCGCTGCCAGGCTGGTGGTAGTGGTGGGGACAGTGGTGGTGACACTGGTGGTGGTAGTGGTGGTAACAGCGGTGGTGACAGTGGTGGTAGCAGTGGTGTCTTGCTATCTGTCAACATGATCATCTCGCTGCCAGGCTGGTGGTAGTGGTGGTGGTAGTGGTGGTGGTAGTGGTGGTGGTAGTGGTGGTGACAGTGGTGGTGGCAGTGGTGGTGATAGTGGTGGTGACAGTGGTGGCTTCCTGTCTGCCAACATGATCATCTCGCTGCCAGGCTGGTGGTAGTGGTGGTGACAGTGGTGGTAGTAATGGTGTCTTCCTATCTGCCAACATGATCATCTGGCTGCCAGGAGGGATGGTGATGGTGTCTGCCTATCTGCCAGCATGATCGTCTCGCTGCCACTGTGCATAACCCAACTTGTCCCTCGCCACAACCAAGTATCTTTGTATAACCCAGTTTTCTCCTCTGTACAAACTGGTGTGTGTGTGTGTGTGTGAAGGAGAGAGAGAGAGTGCATTTTCTCTCTCCCTCTCTCAGCTCTTCCTCCCTCTTCTCCCTCTCTCCCCTCCCTAACCCCCTGTATCTCCCTTTCACTCTCTCTTCTTCTCTCTCTCTCTCTCTCTCTCTCTCTCTCTCTCTCTCTCTCTCTCTCTCTCTCTCTCTCTCTCCTCTCTCTCTCTCTCTCTCTCTCTCCCGTCTCTTCCTTTATTTTTATTTATACAGGGTTTTACAATACTAGGTTAAGAGTTCTTACCTTCATTTACAAGCTAAGTACTGTTTCCTACCTCAGCTCATTTGAAAGCCTTTTCATTGTTATGAGACAAGCAAACAGGGAAGAGGGTGAAGTTGGAGCCATCTGTGGGCAACGATCTCATTTGGTCAACTATTTCATCGCTGTCATTATACTGCATGAACATGTTTCAGACTCGAGTTATTCTAGGAATGAATGATCTCAGATGAAGTGATGCTCTTGAGAAGGATACAGCCAGAGTGTAGTTGCTGCTTGCTGCCCGTCCTGTTGTATACATGAAGCTGTCTTCTCGTTGTCCGCGAAGTGGGGCCAAGTACGATAGTTTGACAATAATGGCCTTGTACAAAGTAAGGCCAACCCCTCTCCCCCCATCCCTCCGATGATCTCTCCCTTTCCTCTCACTCTTTCTCTCCTGTCTCTCACTCACTCCCTCCCCTCACTCTCTCCCCTCTTACGAGAACTCAATCCAAAACTGGTAATGCTTTAAGTTAATTATATAAAAAAAAGAGAATAAAACAACTAATTTCCGTCCAGATGTTGACAGTGATGAACGAAGAAGACTGATGGTGCACACAGCCCACACACACACACACACACACACACACACACACACACAGTTACACAGGTTAAGTGTCTATCGACAAATGCCTTTGACAGTCGGTAAATAACAGGTTTTGGATGACGTAGAAAAATCTCGAATAAAAATAAACAAAAATGCAGTGTTGGATAGATGGTGGAGTTTATTGATGATAAATACCACGTAGGAGAAACAAAAGAATAGAGGAACACTGCATCCGTCTTAGGCTCATACTTAGTGGGTCATTCTCAAATCCAATCCTTCTTAAATATTGATCCAACCCATTCTAAAAGCGTCCAAAGGCTTAAAGTTCAATAATTCTATTAACTGATGCTCTTACAGTATACTTAATGTTTTAGGTTCATTCAGCCTACTTGACGGATTGTTCTAATCGATAATTATTTCCAAGCAAAAAATGTCTTACATTCTCTTTAAGTCTAAACTTATAAAATCTGAATCCATTATTTCGAGTTGTTTCTTGATTGGACCAGGAGTCCTGTAGCAGTGTTGCTACAGTTTTATAATATGGTCTTACTATATAACACCGATTACACTTTGCTATGATCGGGAAGTGACTCTTTCTGCCGTGGAGTGCGTGCCAACTTCATCTGAAAGCTCACTTAGTGATCGGTCTCATGATCCTGCTCCGTCACAGAGCTCTCTTCCCTCTCGTGTGACCTCTAATGTTGGTGTGCAAAGCAGAGACGGCAAATATTTGTGGTGTAGCGGCCTCAGAGCCGCTCCTGTAAATGGAAGTAGAAGAGAAAGGCAGAGAGTCGAAAATCAAGGCTATCTGCGGAGGACTAAATACAGTATTGCTACCTGTAGATACAACACCTGTCTGCTGATAGCAATGAAGAAAATACACAGTTATAAAGGTTTTGTTCCATGTAGAGCTTTTTTTCAATCACTACAAACAATATAAGAATACGCCTATATGTAATTCACTTGGTAGGCGAGGTCAATAAGTTTCCTATGGAGGTAAGTCAGGGTGAGAGCATGTGGGTTGGAAGGTGGGCGGTGATGTAATAGTTTAGCTATGCAGGAACCTTGCCGGCTACTGAGTGTTGATTGGTTGACTTTGTTTCTGTAGTTTTGAGAGACAGAGGTTTAGCCAAACTGGAGGTGCCCTGGTTCACCTCAGCGGTGTTTCGGGTGCTGATTAATGTCGCTTCCAGACACCTGAGTTTTAGTTTTTATTTTTGTTTTTGAGGACAAGTTTAGCATCTTTCCTCAACATTAAGTGAGCAGGTTTTTCCCTGTATA